TCAGAGGATTAATAGTTTCATTTACGTCTGAACACAATGGAAGGCCTTGGGCAGAAGAGCCCCAAAGGCAAGCTCTGTAGTCCTCTAAACCATGGTTGTCCGGACAGTCACAGCCATAGCCACAGCTCAGGAGCACGTAGTACATACCTTCTGGAAGCCCAGGCCTCAAAGACAAGTAGGTCAGGGATCAAGGGTCAAGTGCTAAAGTGACCTGAGAGTCACAGAAGCAAGTACCCGGAATCTCTGGACTCCTGCCTCACTGCTAGGTGAGGTGTTGAGGCCACCTTCTGGGGGCCCCAGACATGGCTCTGTTCACAGGTTTCCCTGTAGCACCAACCATCCTTACAGCACTGGCCACTGCCTTCTGTACAGGAGCTGGAAGCCAAAACCAGAGTCCTTGCCACATGAGCCTCACATGTGCCTGGAGGGATCCAGAGCTGTCTCGCTGCAGGGAGATTTCTAAGGAGCTGCGTGTGCACTGAAGCCCACACGCAGCGCTGCCCTCGATACAACCTCCCCAATACTCTACGTATTTCAAACATACCCAACACCAGCGCAGAAGTCCTTGTGTCTTTTGCCTCAGTATTTTCTACAGGACATAGTGACGCAGATGCTTAATACAATCTGCTTTTTTAAAAATCTAGTTTTCAGGCTGGGCATGGTGGCACATGACTGTAATCTTATCTATTTGGGAGGCTGAAGGAGAATCACTGGAACCTGGGAGGTGGAGGTTGCAGTGAGCCAAGATCGCGCCACTGCGCTCCAGCCTGGGCGACAGAGCAAGACTCCGTCTCAAAAAAAAAAATCTGGTTATCAGAAATACCCCGTTACTGACAAGCAAATGCTCAGATACAGGGGTGGTGGGGACAGCCCTGCAGTTCAGGCGGTCCACCACTACTCCCAGGCCCATCTACTCTGTGAGCTCCCTTCCCGGTTAACCTATGCCTCTCTTTCCACGGTCCACTTCTATATTCATTTTGGATTTAACCTTTAAAATTTTTCCGGTGTGTCACAGGGCCCTTCCAAGGGGCATGTATGCCTCGTCCTCAGGCAGTCTATGTTATAATTTAAAACCTTTGGTTCATGTACAGGTAAGCCCCACAAGCAGCCTGTTAGAAATCTGAGAGAACTACTGTTAATCTGGACAAATGAGGCCTCTGAAAAGCAGTAAGGTAACCAGCGTTTTCTCTCTCAGTCCTACTTACCTGCAGAAGCTTCTGGCCCACACTGTGACTCTGCGTGAAGTAGAGGGTGCATGGTGTTGTGTTTTGAGAATGTGGTAAGGACAGTGTACTTTACCGACTTTCCTCTCTGCCCCATCACAACAAGACTAAAAGCAAACGTGAACTCCAATCTAAGAAGCAGAAGTGTGTGAATGTGAGGTGACAGGAACAGCTGTATACTCTCTTCAGCGTATAACTTTTTTGAAAACAATGGATGAAAGCTTCCTCCCCTAATAAATTTCAAATATCAATGACCTTGAAAATAAACTGGATGGTCACTTTTTAAAGTTAATGATCTTCTTAGCAATCAGACGTTTGCTGAAAAGGGTCGCTCTTTCATCTCTAAACATTAAGTTAGTACTGAGGCTTTCGGAACTATCACCTTATCCAATAATTTCTAAAAAATGGGATCTGATGGCAAATAAGTATCTTTACTTCACAGCTGGGAAATCTGAAGGGGTACCAGACCACAGCTGAAGCCGGGGCAGGGCTAGAAAAGTGACTCAACTTCTTTCAACGACACTTTGTCTCCTGGTCTTCCTTCCTGTGGATCACAGTGGGCAGGCTGGACAACGTATCCGTTCATTTCACATGGGCTCCCCTAGCTAGACCCGCCATCTCTGCTAAAGTGAGGTCTCCCGGTGGATGAGATGCTTCCAACATCCAGCTCTTGGTGGCTCTTCCAGCAGCCCAGGCAGAGAAAAGCAGCAGCGGTGTGGCCTCAACTCCAGGATCTGGTCTCCCAAGGAAGCTCGTTCTGAGTCCTTCCATGTAAAATAGACTTGGTGTCACAGGCCCAATTCTCCCACAACCTCAAAGAGTAACACCTTTGCTCCAAAATTGCATCACCACGAAAACAAAACGCTGCAGTCTACTTGATATCATTTTTGCTCTGATTAAAATTTTTATTGAAATCTCTCAAAGGTCGTCAAGAAATAGTTTTTGCAAAAGGGGGGAAAAATAGCTAACAAACAAATTCAACATGGGAGCTCCCTCTGCTGGTCTGCAGTAGGTTGGTATGTTACAAACACATTCCCAGAGACAAATCTAATTTGCTGGAGAAGTGGACAAAAGACAGGTGTGTTGGGCTTTGCCTCAGGAGAGAAACACTAGAAGAAAAAAAAAATCCATGTCTCAAAATAGAGCATAACATTGCTAAGAAAAACAAAATTATTTAAAGACTCTCCAAAGACATTATAAGATTTCCAAAACAAAAACTGAATTATCCAATATGGGGAGATGCCCTGTAAAAGCTGCAGTCTGCTCTACCTCCAGTTAATAAAGATTCTCTTGGGCCCTCTGGGTGAAGGTTAAGTGCTGATTCCCTTGTCTTTGCCTCCAAGTCTCTTCTTACAGGCTTTCCATCTACTTAGAGAAGAAAGATCCAAGGAGTCACTGGAGTGAAGCCTTCCCAAAATTCCATTAAAGAATAAGTCTGTGGTGAGCCAGCACCTCGGAGTAGAAAGAGCCAGGCCTGGGAGTCAGGTGACCTGGGTCTAGTCATGGTAGAGCCACTTCAGATTGTGGGTAACTCCCTCCATCTTCTTAGGCCTGATTCCTCATCTGCAGAATGGGTCAGACCAGCTGATCTGTAAAGCCTCTACTAGTTCATTCTGATTCTCATATTGGACAAATAAATTTAAATGACCATATTTGTTCATAGAGTCCATAACTGCCCTGGGAATGACTCCAAACAAGAAGTGGCGTCGAACACTGGTATCAGATGAGAGTCCCAACAAATCTGGGACCAGTGTGGCAGAGCTAAGTGGATTCCAGTTTGGAAAAATCTCAAGACCAAGGAAGAAGTCCCAGGGGAGGGTGCCACAATGGGCAAGGCATCCCATTAAGTCAAGTGACTGAGTCCATCTAATCTCGGCACTGTCTCTCCCCGTCCTTCCTCACAATGGCATATGCTTTCTAATCTCTTGCGACTCTTTAGGCCCTTCTCTTAGCATATCATATCTCCAGAATTACTTCTGATTTTACCCATTACATCAATGAAGAATGGGCAGATGTCATGGCCAAAAGCCACCATTCCCAATACTTTCTGGCTGTTGTCAACTCTTGATTATCCAGGGTAATGGTGAAAGGCTTTGTTGGTGACCAACCAAAGCCATGGCTATTCAGAAGACTATGCAAACGTGCATTGTTTCATGATATTTATTAACATCTGCCTCGATTGCCACATGATCTGTACCTAGCAGTCTAGCAAGAGGAGAGACACCGTCCAGGGCAGGGGTGGGAGGTGGCAGGCAAAAGGGGCTCTAGTTGTCCCATGTCAACCACATATTTATCCACAGCCTGCTAACAAAGACCCTAATGACTCAGCAGAAGACTCCTCCAGGTTTACATGTTATCCCCTCTCCCCATTACCTGCCAGTTGTAACGGTTTCCAAGCACTGACACGGAAAAGGGAAGAAAACGCAGCAGGGGAAGGAGAGAGCAAAGGCACAGATAATCCTGCTCCTTTATTTCTGGTCCCATGTACTCTTACCACCACCACCTACACTTTTTTCTTCACTACTTGTAGTACTTTCTCCCTTCTCCCGACACAAAGGGCAATCATTACTGGGGCCCAGGCGCCAAGGGCAGCCCCAGGAAGCTGGGTTGTCAATGCACACCCAACACGTTGGTAACTCAGCGAAAAGAACATTAAAAGATATTCAGCCAACAACAATCTTGACCCCATGGCTTTCAAGAACCCTTGCTGGGGGCTGTTTCTAGGTGGTCTTTCTCAAGACAATGAGTTCTGTACAACATAAAAGAGTTTTAAGTCAGAAGGAAGTTTTCTGGGAAGCTATTTATTTCATCCAGCCTTGTAAACAAACACTGAGCAAAACAAACAAAAACTCCACCTGTCCAGCCTAATCATTTTTAAAAATTTAAAATTTAAGGGCCGAATTACACATGCAGGAAGACAAATGAAACCTACATACGTACTTTCTATTTACTGGTTACTAGTCGTCAATCTTTGCAGACCAAAGAACAAGTGGTTATCTCCAAAGGTGAATCTTTACGTTGATTACTACTACTTGCACCCAAAGCGAAGAGAAATATTTTCTCCAAGGGGAGAGGAAGTGTTAGTACATAGACAGTAGTCTTTGTGGAGAAACAGGAAGTTTGTTTATAAAAATCAGGCTATTTTTAACTAAGAAAGAAAGCTGGTCAGAATAGAGATCTCTACCTTGACCTATAATTCCATCTTAGACACTGTATTATGCCTCCTTTTCTACAGGGTTTCCTCAAAATGGAGAAAAGGAACCCTTAATCTTTCCTGTAACATATTTAAGAAAGTACAGCCTTCCCCCAGAAGCTTTCCCTTTGGTGATAAGATTATTCTTACAGTACAGCAGAGTGGAAACCTCTCAACACACAGAAACACGCACAGACGCACATAACTCCTGCTCCTAGCACAGACCTTTCTCTGTAGCCCATCCACGCAAGGCACACACATATACACTCTGGTGATGCCCTCTAGCTAGCTGGGAGCCAGGTGGATAAACTTGCCCCAGTCTCTAATGTGCAATATGAGGTGAGATCATTAAGGAAGAGAGGTGTCACTTGGGGCAAACATCAGGCAGTGGGTGATATCATTGCTGTCAGACGATCCTCATAAGTCCTGAAGGAGTGTCAGCTTGATTTAGAGGGAATCATTAATCTCTCGAAGGTGGATCTGTTAGCTGGATAGGTGTTAGTTGTATGGTGTGCTCTGGGGAACCAGGTTTGAAAGGACTGGTGGTGGAGTGAGTGAAGTCGTGGCCGATGGGTATAAATTACCTGGGCATGCAGTGAAGCGGGATAGGTGAAAGCAGGAGGAGGTAGAGCAGGCGCTAACTCCGCTGGGTACAGAGGGTACGGGGCCCACACTTCAGGGCTACTGGGGTAAAGTGCAGGCACTGTGAGCTCATCTGCAAGAAAAGAATAAGGCAAGAGTTAGTGGTTACCAAACAGCTAGTTTCAAATCAGAAAACAAAACACCCAATAACCCCAAGCCCCAATCAATGTCAGAAGTCAAATTACTCTCATTCTTTTAACAACCTGTTGTTGGCTTTGGTCCCACAAATGCTAAGCAAAGGAACGAAAAACATAACATAAGAAAAGCAACAAGCATCTGCTGCCTATCTGGCCTGCTGAGATCTCAGGCTTGGACTCTGTCTTGGACACTCTGATGTCTTTCCAGCTATAGCTGGGGAACCCAAGAACAGTGGGAATTTCCTGCACAAAACAGAAAATGTGGCTCTCTGAGGAAAAGGGAGAGAAAGAACTAATAAAGGATATCCCATAAGAACCCACTGCAGAGCTGCTGGGAAAACAATGGCTTAACGGCAGGGCCTCAACAAACCAGAACTGGAAGGCTTTTCTGTTTATTGGCATAATTACTATTGACAAGTCAGGTATGATCATCAAGCATTTTCCATTTAGCCCTCAGAAGAACAGGGCCAAATGCTGTGACCATGGGAGCATTTAAGATTTTAAAAATTCGGAGTTAAGTGAAAGACCTGAGAATCCTGACTAAAACTAAACTCCACTAAGATGTAAATCGGAACATTTCCAGTTGCTCTTCAGACTAACTTTTATGGGAAAAAAATGAGTCATGTTGCCAAGCGCCTGGTCTAAGTGTTCTTCAGGCAGCCCTAATTCCACTCAGGTCAGGCTGCAGTTGGCCAGATTGAAGGGCAAGTGCCTGGGCCTCTGAAGCAATCCATTAGAAGTAACAGCAAACACCATGAGGGAGCTTCTCAGGAAAGGCAAAATAACATCAGTCAATAAAGCAAGGAATCTGGGCCCTGTGAAGCAGCAATCTCAATATGCGCTTTTATCACCTGTCAAAATCTGAAATCAAGTTTGCCAAGGACGTTATCCAGGACTGCTGTGCGAGTCAGCAAAAGGTGATTGGATAAAGTCATTAGTAACTCTGCCTTTGAGGGCTTTCCTTAAGTTTACAGTGCATGTGATCCAAGGTCAACAGAGTCACTTTATTCCTTCCCACCATCTAAGCAGTCATTGTCCAGACCCAGTGTCTCAGCATCCTTCCCATTCCCCCAAAGTCTTCAATACAGAAAGAGAGCTAGCAAAAGAAAACTGCATTGCTCAGTGTGCTGTGGGACTGCTCTATGGAGAAACCAGAAAGTAGCAGAGACTGCGGGTAAATACGGATCTGGTGGGCTGGGGGTAGGTGAGGCTTCCCCACAGCCGGCTTGCAAGGTAGGAGCTTCTCTCAGGATGGTAGGGAGTCAAGAGCTGACTGATGATCTGTTCAGAGGGTAGCTTGTACCCATTCCCAGATATGATGGGACCCAACAATGTGGTTTAACATACTGCCGCTGGTTGACCTTCCTGACTCCCTCCTTCTCTGAGGCAGTAAAAGGTACCTCCTCAGGCCTTGGTAATGGAAAAACAGACTGCCTGTGTATCTAGGTGGGAGAGATGAGCCCCTACGAGTAGACTGATCATTATTATTTAGTCAGGGTAACAACAGTATCACCAGAGTCCTTAAAATGATCAGGTTCACAACGTCTACTTCAAGTTCTGGGGTACGCAGGTGCCTGTAGCCCAAGGCTTAGGGACCCCTCTCAGAGGGGCTGGGAGGAGCTTAATAGATCCCTGTGCTTCCTGTTGTGATGAGACCGTGATTTCCAGAGTGCTCATCTGGGAGACCAGCTAGTGGAAACTAACTGCTGCCAGAACCGATGCCTTGAATTTTAAACAAACAACCATTCTCAGGAATGCCAAGCTATTATGGTTGCTGTTATTTTAGCTTCCAGGCTATTTTAAGACATTCTGAGCCTTTTAAAAATGTCAAGCCTCAGTACACTCATCTGCAGCCCATGCTTGTCTGTTCCCACTGTGATAGCAGAAGACTATAAAACTGATCCATACAAGTGATTCCAACTGAGAACCCTCAGAGGGAACACGCTTGGCCTGCAGCCTGTCAGTGGTCCTTCCTCATCTTCCTGCCTCACGGGAACTGGTTAACTGGGGCAGGGTGGGTAGAGATGGTTACCTGACCAGTGGTTCCTTCCTTTAGAAATTTTTAAAAATGAAATGAATATGCCCTTTAAGATATCTGATCCTTAAGAGATAAGCAACAGAGATAAGCTGGAATCAGATTTCAATGTTAGCCTGACTGACAGAATTTATGATTTCCAGAACGTTCTCTATTTTTATCCTGAAGCATTACTTTCCCTTAGTTCTTTACTGATGCTTTGAGACAATTCACCATTAACATTTGCATAAAACCTAGCCCCAGAGAAAAGAGGATTTGCTCTGAAATTCCCTAAACTCAAAATTTCTTAGTAAAGTAGGTAGTAAGGCAGAGGCCTAGAAGAGATTAAGGCGAACTTACACTTGATAAATCCCTTGATACATCTTCTCTCTCTCCCTCCCTTCTCCCCTCATGAAGGAATGTGGAGTTACCATAAATGTCAAAAGACATGTGGTCTGACCAGGTCAGGATCACACCTGAAGCAGTCCTTACAGACACCTACCTTTTCAGTATGAGCCTGAGCACTCGCCTAACACACACACATGCCCCTTTGACGGAAAGGGGTATTAAAGCAGAATAAGCTTTTATCGTTTGTTTGCTTTTTCGTTCCTTGAGAAAATTACAAAAGCTAGAGAGGCAGGTTTCCACAGAGCGATCCCTTCACAAGGACTCCCACTGAAGGAGCAGGCAAGGCCCTGATGGGTTTCACCTTCCTGAGTCACTGTCCATCCTGCTCAAACTTTGTAGGATGGAAGGCTGAAAAAAGAAGGCAAAGATTGCTGCTCAAGGCCCACTGGGATGAATTGGAGTTTAGGGAGGGGATGAGAATCCTCTTGACAAAAGAGGCTCTTGACCACCCAGAGTGAGCCAGGCCCCAGTGAGCAGAAAGAGGGTAGATCAAGAGGCCAGGGCTTTTTTTGTCTGAGTCTAATCCGTCCCTCCTGAGAGGCTGGGCAAATCCTTTCCCATTGCACCAATCTGGCTATATCTTTTCTTTTTTGCACCTTCTGAGGATAATGTTGTTGAAGGCTCACAATATACATCTGAATAGGCTTTTTTTCTTAGCATAAGAATATGCAACCAGAAGAGCTCAAATTGGATTCTGAAAAACGAGGACTAGAAACTTCCAACCCCAACCTGTAATCCCTTTGAAAAGAAAAAACTGTGAGCTTCTGATGAAGGTTTAAGCCTACAGAGCTTGGGAAGATCACCTAGTCTGCCCTTTTGCTTTAGATGAGGAAACAGATGCAGAAAGGTGAAGCTTCCAGTCTGTAGTCACACTGAGAGAGAGAGAACCAAAAATGACTGTTAGAGACAACTGAGAGATGGAAGAACAAGGAGAACATTTAATGGTTAAATATGGCCATATATCTCTGAGTTTAGTTGGTAACACAAGGTTTTTCTGCCTCCTGAAAATGTCGACTTGGAAATATTCCACAGCAACCTCATGTTCAACATACCGAAAACTAAATATGCTCCCTCCAATGACCTGTCCTTGTTGGCTCCAGATTTCAATAAGATGCTACCTTCCACTCAGCTGCTGAAGCCACAAACCTGGTGGTCACCCCATTCTCCCTCTCATTTAATCTTTCATCAAGGTCCTGCTGAATCTATCCCATGATCCAGTTTGATCTTCACCACCACTACTGGATTACTGAAAAGGCCTCCTTAAAGGCCTTCCACACTGAAGTCAAGACAACTTAAAAAATACACAGTTTGGCCACATGCAGTGGCTTACACCTGTAATACCACTGCTTTGGGAGGCAGAGGCAGGAGGAGAAAGATCGCTTGAGGCCAGAATTTGAGACCAGCCTGGGCAACATAGCGAGATCCTAATAAAAAAATATTCACCAGGCCTGGTGGTGCATGCCTTTACTCCCAACTACTGAGGAGGATAAAGTGGGAGGCTCACTTGAACCTAGGACTTACTTGAGGTTGCAGTGAGCTGTGATTATGCCACTGCACTCCAGCCAGGGCAGCAGAGTATGACCCTGTCTCTAATTCAGTCATGTCACTCCCACTTAAAACCCTTCTATGATTTCCTCTTGCTCTGTGGATACTGTCTAAACTCCATGTAATGGCCTGTAAGACCCCAAATGATCTGGCCCTCATCCACCTCTCCAGCCCCGATTCTACCTCATGGCCTGGGATCAGTCACTTCCAAGGCATGACTATGCCTGCTTCTCCCCTACACACTGCCCTCTCCCCCAGGGGCACTCTTCTCCCCTCCTTTCACCTGAATTCCCTCTTACTCTTCAGTTACTTACTCCTTCCACCCAGCTTAACTCTTGAGAGTACTCCACTTAGATGCCACTTCTAGTCTAGAAGATTGCTTTCTCTGTGCTCCACCACATCCTGCACCTCCCCAGACATAGCAGTTACCTCCTAGATGGTAAGCTCTTATTCTTGCTCACCAGTGCCTACCATCATATTATAAGACAGTATCAAGAAATCAACCATTTGGGCACGAGAATCACTTGAACCTGGGAGATTCAAGCGAATGAACCTTGAACCAGGACATTTCAGTGAGCCGAGACTGCACCACTGCACTCCAGCCTGTGCAATGAAGCAAGACTCTTACGCTCAAAAAAAAAAAAAAAAAAAAAAAAAAAATCAACCACTTGCTTTATATTTAAGAAAATGAATGAAGAAAAATACTTCCATCCTGCCTTCAGGTGAAGAAATAGCCAGACTGAGGGTTAATTCAATTCTGGGTGGGAGAGGTCTCTTGTCTCACAGTTCAGGTCCCTTCTATACACCATCCTTTCCTCCCTGGGATGGGTGATGCCCCGACTGTTGCTGGTGGTGACAGGGCCTGGAATGCAGGTGGTCTTTAGGTCTGGCTTTTAGCATACTCAATTTGCTATAAGCTCCGGGACAAAGTCTTCTAGTAGAGCTTGCTGTGTAGATGAAGAATTTGGC